AAGCGTATTATTAGTGTGTGCGTGTGTATACATAAGCACATATGTGGGTACGCCCACCACAGCACGTTGCATGGAGATCAGAGAAGAACTTTGTGAGGTTGATTACCACCTTCCACCTCTACAAAGGTTCCAGGGATTAAACTCAGGTTGCCAGGCTTGCATGGTGAGTGCCCTTACCTGCTGAGCCATCTCACAAGCCCCCACAGATGGATTTTAAGCAGAAGTGGTAAAATAATCATATTTTCCTTTTGAAAAGATGATTCCAAGCCAGGTGAGGTGATGGACATCTGTCATCTCAGTAAATGAAAGGTTGAGGCAGGAGTTCCATGACAGCCTTAACAATAAAGCAAGACCATGTCTCAAAAAAGGAAAAAATTAAAGAGGAGGTGGGGAGCTGGAAAGATGGCTCAGTAGTTAAAAGCACTGACTGCTCTTCCAGAGGACTTGTTTTAGAATTTCTAGCGCTCACACGGAGGCTAGAAACTCCAGTTCCAGGGAATACAGTGACCTCTTGTGGCCTCCACAGGCACTGCATACACATGGTGAACAGACATGCATGCACGCAAGACAACTCACATAAAAACAAATCCCAAAAACATGGTTTTAAATCATTCCACTTTCAATGTGAAGGACTACGAAGAGAGATGGAGTGTGGAGAGACTGTTGCAGTTATTTTAAGAATTCCACAGGAGCACTTGCAGCTCTAGCAGAGGGCCCAGGTTCAGTTGCAAGAATCCACAACACATGGCTCACAACTACCTATTAACTCCAGTTCCAGAGAATTGGACAAATCCCTCTATGCTCCTTGGGCACCAGACACATAGGCAGTGTACATACATACATGTAAACATTCACACAGACATATTAGATAAATATTTCTCTTAAAAAAAGAAATCCATAGGAAAAAAGAGTAGCAGTGAAGATAACCCGTAGATCCAAAGGACATTTAAAAGTGAAAGGCAACAGGATGTGGCAACAAACACAGAATGATTAGATTAATCTGTAATCAGTCCTTTGACATTTCAGGACTCAAAATACTAAACTCTGTCATCATCAGTAATCAAGCAGCACAGTAAGTGTGAAAGACTGAAGAGCTGGCTTCCTGCTGGGTTTCCTGGAAGTACTGTCCCCTGAAGCTGATGGGGCACTCACTCACTTGTAGAGCAGGCTAGGGGCACTGACAGTGGCCCGGAATCCTTGAGGGGTCTGCTCCACCTCATAGGCATCACAGGGCTCATCAGAATATTCCATGGAGTCTGAAAAGAAACCGGAACATCTCTGAATGCTGCTGCTCAATGGAAAACAGCCTCCTCCCTCTGCCAATCACTCTCAGGGTTAGGACGGCAAGAACAGGTGGGAGGAGCAGCTTGGCTACTGCTTTAGTACCCGCCTCGTCCGCTCACAGGAGGAATAACGAATAAAAAGAACACGGTGGTTATTGTAAATCCGTCAGTCTCAGAACCTTGGGAAGGCAGTATATACAAACCAATACTTAACTGCTTTCTCTTAGAGAGTCAAGATGCCGGCCAGGCGGTGGTGGCGCACACCATTAATCCCAGCACTTGGGAGGCAGAGGCAGGTGGATCTCTGTGAGTTCGAGGCCAGCCTGGTCTATAAGAGCTAGTACCAGGACAGGATCCAAAGCTGTCTCGAAAAACCAAAAAACAAACAAAGAAGAGTAAAGCTGCCTAAACAACATGTTTTACTATCATTCTATTCAGACAAAGTTCACATAATATGAACTCAGCCTTTTAAAATCTAATACTTTTTAGTATTAGAGCACAGAATTACTTTAATGAATTACTAATAAATAAGGAAGATACTAAGATTTATTCCTTAAGACCTCAACATAGAGAAAAGAGAGACCAGGCCTTATGCCTGGAAGAGTTCCAGGCTGAGGCAGGAACAGTAGCAGCCTGAGTTATATAGTAAGGACAGTGAGAGAGACACACATAAAGAGTAAGAATGGAAAAGAAGAGTCCAAGGCTCAAGGCTGACAACACACCGTAAAAAGGATCACAGGGAAAGTGACCCCCAAAGTTAAGGTACAGTGGAAACCCTTAGGAATCAAAGAGGGGCAATGGCAAAGAACTGAAAAGTCCTGTTTATGCTCTAAACCTAACCACATGGCCATTGCCCTGAAAATATTTATAACCCACCCCAACTATTTATTTCTATTTACAAGATTACCATATGTAAAATAAAGTTAGTTGGGTCTCTGGAACTGTCAATGCATGATTACAAGGAAGAAAGAAAAATAACATAATAACAACAGTTAACATTATCTGACTCTGAACTAAATCCTTTACACGTTTATTTCAATTGCTTATATTCTTAGCCAGGCATGGTGGTGCACCTTTAATCCCAGCACTCAGGAGGCAGAGGCAGGTGAATCTCTATTAGTTCAAGACCAGCATGGTCTACACAATGATTCCATGACAGCCAGAGCTACAGGATAGAGAGACTGCCACAAAATAAAGCAGAACAAAACAAAACAAAAAATGATGGGCCATGGTAGTGCATGCCTTTAATCTCAGCACTCAGGGGGCAGAAGCAGGTGGATCTCTGAGTTTACAGAGTTCCAGGACAGCCAGAGATACACAGAGAAACTCTGTCTCAAAAGTAATTCATTCATTCATTCGGCCATTCATTTATTCATTCACTCATATTCTTTTACAATTTCACAGGTAAGGGGGCTTAATTTTGACCCAGAATATTAAAATTTAGAGTAATAACTAACTGCCATCTCTTCACACAGGGGCTTTGCAGCTAGGAGCCCTTAATGCTCTTTCAAATGACTTGAGTTCAGGTCCCAGCACCCACACTGGGCGGCTCACAACCACCTGTAACTCCAGCTCCAGGAGATCCAACACCCCCTTCAGGCTTCTTTGGGTGCCCATGATCATATCTACATACGCACATGCATGTACATGCACACACATACACATATACCCCTCTAAAAATAATAATGGGTAAAATTACTCCTCATGGCATTTAAGCCTCTGTACAAGATTAAATATATCTTGACTTATGAAATACAACCAAGAATGCCTCAATTGAGAGTGGCTTTGACAGGATCCCTGAACAGCAAGAAACAAAGAATTGCCACTACAGTCAGACCATTTACTTCTCATCTGACCTAAGAGCAACTAGGATTACCTTGATAGAAACCCTCATCTTCTTCATGCGGATAGTTCTTTTCCTGGATGGGGTTCTTCCTATAATTCCGTCCATCGATTGTTATAATCTGTGGGCGGAGAACATCCATGACACTTTCTCCAAATGATGTCCTAGTAAAGTCCTGAAAAAGAAAAACTATCTTTTTACCTTTTTATTAATTAGAAATAAAAACTTACGTCAATAAGATGACTGAACAGGTAATGGCACTTGCTCCCAAGGCTGATGATCCTCACGGCAGAAGAAGAAAACTTGACTCCTACAGGCTATTCTCTGAACATACAGCCAGGAAGTACAGACACAGACAAAATAAATAAATGGAATAAAATAATTAAATTAAGCCGGGTGGTGGTGGCGCACGCCTTTAATCCCAGCACTCAGGAGGCAGAGACAGGCGGATCTCTGTGAGTTTGAGGGCAGCCTGGTCTACAAAGCAAGTCCCAGGACAGGCTCCAAAGCTACACAGAGAGACCATCTCGAAAAATAAACAAAAAACATTAAATTAAAAACCTCCATTATATGAACCATTATGTATGTCTGAATGGACATAACTGGGTAGTAATTCATAGCACATCCTAAGCAAGAATAGTGTTGCTTTTTCATTGGCCTGCTGCTGCATGTAAACTCTTATAAGGCAAGGACTGCATTTCCTATCATTTATTACACCCCTGACTCACTCTAGACAGTAATTTGTAATCAGCCCTCCAATAAGAGGCATTAGTAGTATACTGCCTGCCAGTGACTTTGAGAGAACATAGGTCTCTGATTACTTTAACCTAAAGGAGAGTGCAGTCTTGACACTTATCTAACCATAGGCAAAGTGCCTCGTTCTTTCTATCCAACATAATAGCAAAATGAGGAACCATTCAAACAATAGCACCACGGAAGAGTGCTAAGTATGTTTAAAGGCGCTAGAAATGCACACCTAACAATCATATCTAATATCCCTATCAAAGTACAACTAAAATATGATTTAACATAGTCTCAGACCAACACATCAGTGAAAAGGAACAGTTTCTGGAGGTCGCTGCCCTACCAAGTGCTGCATCACTTCCTGAGAAAAGCGAAATGCCTAGTCACCACTTGAATCAATAGTTGGGAAATAAAGGCCCCTTATGAACTAGCGGTGGTTAAGTCCAACCCATGTTCCCAACACAGATGGCTGGGTCTTCAAGTCCAGGTACTTAAAAGTGCCAAAGAAAATATAACCACCCTTTCTAAACAAATGCTTGGCCCAACCCTTTGGCAAGTCGCTAATCAGGAGCCGCCTGCACAGAACCAAGGCGAGGGGTTGTGCTTCTGAGAACACAGAACGTCAACGTTGACGAGAGGATGCAATTATCAACAGCCTTGACATGACACTCTGGTGTGCTATTCCTTTAGCCTGCCCTCCCCATCTCGGAACAAAAGTAGCCTTTGGACGGGAAAGTTGGGGCCCTGAGCGCGAGGTGGCTGTGGTGCACACTCATCTACCTTTCCTGCGCAGCTCTGGGCAGAGACTGCGCACAAGGACGGAAACCGACTAGCCAGCCCTGTGTCATGGAAAGGGAGAGACATATATGTCTTCGTGTAACTATCGTGGGAGAAGTGGAAGTCCTAAACTATAAGAATAAACAAAGAACCCAACGCTAGAGGCAGGTACCAGAAAACACCGCAGCAGCAAGATAACCAGAACTCCCGAGAAGGTGACGGGGTGGGAGTAACCCGGAAGTATTCCCTGAAAGCTCCCTCTCCGCCCAGCTCCGGCCACGCCCTCGCTGCGCACGCGCGATAGCGTCGCCCTCGACCCCGCCCCCAGCCATTGCGGCCGGAGCACACCGCCTTAAGACTCCCAGAGCGAGCGGGTGGGCGGGCATGCGCACGCCACCGTCTACGTCGTCGTGAACGAAGCCGCGCTGCTTTGTCCAGGGGGCGGGGCTGTCAGGCCAAGTGCATAAGCTACTCAGGTAAGTAGCCAAGGCTTCCAGAACCTTCGGTGGTTCGTTGGAGCGTTGGGCCCTACGATCCTACCTGCCAGGACTAACAGAGAGGGTGGAAAGAGACCCTGGAGGCTCTCCCGCGCCGGGCGTGTGCAAAAGCAATGTCCTCCGACTGAGCATGCGCGCGGAGGGTTGGCGCCTGCGCAGTGGGGCGGCCGCGAGCCCCCTGCTTCCTCCGAATTGCTGGGTGGGAAGCGTGCCTTGGGTGGAGTCAGCGTAACCAGGACTAGTGTGCTGACTCCTCCCCATCCCGGCCTGGTTCTTCTTTCCACCTATTATATCTATTTTATTTTGGTGGTGACCCGTCTGTTGAGGTGGAAGGATCTGTGGGTTTGACAACATCGATTGTCATAATTAGCCTTCGTACTGGATCCGATCTACTTAAGTATCTGGTTTGTTCTGAGACTTAAGTTTAACAAAACCTTGTTTTGTTTTGTTTGCTTTTAAGAAAATAAGCATAGGGGACTGGAGAGATGGCTCAGAGGTTAAGAGTACTGACTGTTCTTTCAAAGGTCCTGAGTTCAATTCCCAGCAACCACATGGTGGCTCACAACCATATGAAATGAGATCTGATGCCCTCTTCTGGCCTGCAGGAAGACACACAGACAGAATATTGTATACATAATAAATAAATAAATAAATAAATAAAATATTTTTTTTAAAAAAATAAAAGAAGCATAAAGTAATTTATAAGTGCAAGGTCATCTCTGTCTTACACAAAGTAAGTATTTAACCGAGCCGTATTATTTCCCACAAATGTTCCTTTTCCTATGAGCGGTTCTGCTGTCAGCAGCCCCAAATTCCAGAATGCTCAATTATCAGCATTCAGCAAACTACTGAGTGTTTCTTATGGGCCTGGTAGCCTCCTGGGAAGCAAAGTTGTGTACTCCACACAGTGAAAACAACCAGAACCGACTGACATTCCTGATTTCGACCATCTCCGCTCCCTGCAGTCTCTACTGAGCTGCCAGCTCCTGTTCTATGATTTATGAATCATTCATTCGTCCAGGAAACATTGTGATAAGGGATTTATGCGATGCCTCAGGGATACAAAGGTTGTTTGTGTCCTGCTTTCCAACTTGACAGGATCCTTTCCACTGCCTTCCACATACTAAGCAAATGCTCTACCGCTGAACTATGTGTCTCCAGACCCAAGATCACAGACTAGATTTTTACATGTGTGTGTGCCCATACATGTGGAGTGTTGAAGCTTATGTCTGATGTCTTCCTCCATAGCTTTCATAGCTTCCCTGAACCCAGAATGGGTCCATTCCCACTAATCTAGCTACCCACCCTGCTATTGGGAGTCGCAGGCAGCTCTCACACCTGCGAAGCTGGTAAGTGAGCTCAGGGATCCCCAGCTCCTTTCTCCATCGAGCCATCTTCGCAGACCCGTTGCAGAATTCATAACAAGATGAGAAGTGAGCTGACTGAGGGTGTAGCCCAGTGGTAGAATGTGTGGGGTGCATAACAGATAACGCTGTCTGAACATACTTAAAGAACATGAGTGGCTACTTAGAGTTACAATGATCACTTAGTTAATCCCTATGCTCAGCATTTAGAGTCTAGGGTTTGTTGTTAGCTTAACTCCTGATGGCATTCAGAACTAGAGACTGGAGATGTAGCTCGGGGTGGAACATGTGGAACATTGACAGGACCTGTCCTCCTCCTCCAGCACCAGCAAAAGAAGAAACAAACAAAAAACGTTAAGCAGATCTTTAGAACCAGACATTTTGCATGTGTGTCTTCGCGTCTCTGCAGAAAACAGCTTATGTAAAGTTAACCTCGCACTGATTTCAAGCTCTTTTTTCACCCCGACTGTTTTTTATATGGAGCAATAGTAGTTTAGAGAATTGGGAAGAGAATGGGACGAAAGGAAGCTCCTTTGATGACCTTCAGTTACAGAGTCGCTGTGGCTAGCCTTTGAAGTTAGCTGGCCACCCACCGCTTGGGTGCTCTGTCAGGCAGCTGATCTCAAAATACAAAACACAAAGCATTAGCAACTAAATGGAACATTATCAGGGTGGAAGCTGAAGAGATCTGAGTTTAAAATCTTAATTGAGAAAAATAAACAGTTCTCAGGGGTTTCTGCTCTGAACTGGGGGGTGACGTAAATCCAGAGCTGCTCTCTGGGGAAGAGGCCGAATGGTCTACGTGCTTTATTTGAATTCCACCAGGAATCCAGTTAGAGATTTGGACCTGGTACATCAATACTTAAGTCTCTTTTAAGGAACAACTTAAAACTTTACCAGGCTGTGTTTTGAGCCAGTATGGTGCAAAGGAGCAGTTAGAAATCCCGCATGAAAGATTGTTTGCCCTGATGTGTACAAGTACAATTCAGAAAGTAACCCAAGAGCAAAATTTAAAGTATCATTAATGAGCTGGACATGGTGGCCATGCCTTTTGATACCAGCACTGAGAAGCAGACAGAATTCTGAGAGTTTGAGGCCAACCTCGACTACATAGCAAGTTCTAGGACAGGACAGCCAGGGCTACATAGTGAGATCCTATTTAAAAACAAAACAAACTTTCTTTAAAAGTTAGGAAGCTGTTGATGAGTTTGCATTTATAATAGTCTAATGATAGCAATAGCCTTACTATTTCATTATTCCATGTCAGTGTTCATTAGTGCAACCTATGGGTGACCATATGGTGGAACTAGAAACCGAACTCTGCTTCTCTGACAACCACATGTCACTGCCGTGTAGTTAGGAAACAGCAGCACCATCTCAGACGTCTTCAGTTTTCCTCAGAAGGAAACCAGATGCTCTGGACAGAAAGGATTTTCAGGAGCGTAGCATTCTCTAGTATTTTTCTGTTTTGTTTTGTTTTCAAAAAATGAGTTTTGACTTTTTAAGCATTCTCAATGGAAACTAGAGCCTCAAATGATGGAAGCATGTGCCCCACCACTGAGCTCTGTTCCCCAAGTGTGCCAGAACTAGGGGGAGCTTGAGTGAAAACCATTCAGCAAAATTTTCTCTGAGCGTAACAGAGGGGAGCTGCTTTCATCGGGGCTTTTGTTTGTTGGGTTTTTTTGTTTGGTTTATTTGTTGTTTTAGTTTTTAGTTTGCTTTTTTTGAGGGATCCCATGTATCCCAGACTGATCTGGAACCAAAGATGAACATGAACTTCTGCTCCTACCTCTACCTCCCAGGTGCTAGAATTTTCCTCCATTGCCTTGTTTATATGGTGCTAGGAACTGAGCCCAGGGCTTCCTGCATACTAGGCAAGTAGTCTACTAACTGAAAAACATCCCCAACCCTGGAAAATTCATTTTAAAGATCATTTTTAAGCCAGACATGGTAGCGCATGGCTGGAATCCCAGCACTTGGGTCACTGACAAAATGGCGTTGCCTTGAGTTTCATTCAGGCCAGACCAAGCTACATAGTTAGTTCAGACCTTCTCCATAAATAAATAGTTAAAACCTATGTAATGTGAAAATTAGCCATTGCCTGTTGTTATTGAAACAGACTCCTGGCTTTATAGTCCCTGCCTCAGCCTCCTGAAAATCTGGAACTTTCCGTACTGGTGCACATCACTGCCACCATGGGAAGTCATTTGTTCACTCAAGTTCTAGAATCCGTCATCTGGTGAGACCACGAGACACACGGTTTTATTCAAACTGTATTTAGCATTTAAAAGTGGACATATATCTCTTCAGCTACAGAAATAGCCACATGAGTCTCACGGTTGCCTTATTGGACAGAACAAGACTTTCAGAATATTTCCATGGTGACAGAAAGTTCTAGATGTCATAAACATAAAATGGTAGTAACCATTTTAAAATTTATAGTAGCCAGGCCACAGTAGCACACACCTTTAATCCCAAACACTTGGGAGGCAGAGGAAGGTGAATCTCTGAGTGAGAGGCCATTCTGGTCTACAGAGCTAGTCCTAGTACAGCCAAGACTACACAAAGAAACCCTGTCACCAAAAACAACAACAAAAATGTGTGTGTGTGTGTGTGTGTGTGTGTGTGTGTGTGTGTGTGATGACTTCATATGCTTCTGAGACCATGTTCTTGTTCTGAAGTTTTGTAAGAAGCCATATATTCGGCACTGGAATCTGGGTTCTCAGATATGATGGCACAGGACTAAGCCCACAGATACTCAGTTCATAAAGAGCTGTGATTTCTGAGATCAGTTCCTGAATTATTTTGTTCCAGTTTTTGGTCGCCATCAAGTGTTAGATTTAGGCATTGCACTTAGGTGAAACAGCTAACAGTTTCTCAATGAAAGTGCCAGTATGTATTTCCTAACTGATCCCTTCCTTGGGAACAGAACACAATGTTATTTTGGACTCTCATTTGGAAAACTTGATAAGTGAACTTCTTGGTATGGCTTAGTGAGGATGTACCCAAGACAAACTGTCCTGTGGAGCAGGAATATTTATCCTTGGGTCCATTTCTGCCTTGGCACGGACATATCGCCCTTCATAACTCATTAATCATCCACACTCAATTCCAAATGGCACAACTTGCTAATGGGAAAAACTAGCACTTTTTTTAATCTTTTTTTTTTGTGGGGAGGGGAATCCTTTTTTTGGACATGGTTTCTTTGTATAACAGCTCTAGATATCCTGGAACTTGGTTTGTAGACCAGGCTGGCCTCAAACCCACAGAGATTCACCTGCCTCTGCCTCCTGAGTGCTGGGATTAAAGGCGTGCACCACCACTGCCCGGCTTGACAAGCTATTCTTCAACATGTTTTTACTTCAAAACCTAAGTGATATTATAAAAAAACAAACAACAGCAACAACAAAAAAAAAAACAACTATATTCGGAGAGAGAATGGGGAAAGCTGGCCCTACTGGGCTAGGATGAAATATAGTCAACCTGACTTTTATAAACCTGTTTTCTTTTTCCTCTAGTGAAGAGAGAATTCTGCTGGAGGGAATGGCTGCCTCCTCGTCCTCGTCGTCAGCTGGCGGGGTCAGTGGGAGCTCTGTCACTGGTTCTGGCTTCAGTGTTTCAGACCTTGCCCCGCCGCGGAAAGCTCTGTTCACCTACCCTAAAGGAGCCGGAGAGATGTTGGAAGGTGAGCTCACGCTGTGTTTGCTGAGCAGGGGGGTGCGGGGTGGGAGGGGTGGAGGGTGCGGGGGCTCAAGCCCTTGAGTGACTTGAACAGGGTTGGCACTGGTGCCAGGAACCCTCTCCGTGTCCAACTCCAGGTTGCCTTGTTTTGGCACCTGTTGGATGTATTTTCTTTTTAGTGAATATCTACAGATAGATTAACCCACCAGACAGGCCTGAAGGGAAATAAAAGGCAATGCATTTACCTCTGTGAAGGTGACTCTTGTGGCTAGCCCACGGCAGGACATCGCTGTGTGACTGCGTGGTTTTTATAGCACTGGAGACAGATTTGCAACCACCATCTTATCACACATTTGCAGACTGCCTGGCCAGAAATAGGTCACAGGCAGTGGTCACGAAACAGCGCTGGCGACTGGAATCCATCAGGTTCATGTTAAGCTAGGCTGGTAATTCATTGAAGGAGCATGAAACTCGCAAGAGACACTTACTTAAAATGAGCATGTCTTGCTTGGCAGGTGAATCTCTGAATTCTAGGCCAGCCATGTCTACATAGTGAATTCAGGCCAACCAGGGCTGTACAACGAGACCCTTTTTCTTTTCCAAAAAGATAAAATGCTTGTGTCTGGGTTCACCCTAGAGATCCTAGATTAGGCTAAGACAGGAATCTTTGGTTTTTGACCAGTGTCCATGACCTTCTCATGAGGGTGTCTCCTCATCCTTGAAAAACATTGGCAAATGCTTTTACATGTTTTGAGCCATTAAGAGCTCAAAATCACTTGATTCGAGCATTTTTGTGTTGAATTATAAAATGGTCTTTTTTAGTTTAAATCTTGCATGTTTGCATGGATATATTTTAAATCAATTAGAAGATGTCTCTGAGAAAGGCACCAACTATATTTGGGCCTGGTTTTTTGGGGGTGATCTTTGTACATTTATATCAGATACCTTAAACAGTTTCAGGTTAAACGATGCCAAACACCATAACTGGTTTTCCCCTGTAGTGCTGGAGATTGAACCCAGTGGCTGCGTGCATGATAGGCAAGCGTTCTTCGACACAGCTGCATGTCTAGCAAGCCAGGACAAACAGAAGAATCATTTGTGATAGAAAAACAGGCAGATCGCTCTGGGGTAGATTGCTTGTGGTTGGTAGTGAGGCAGCCGGCCATGTATGATCTGGGAGGTGGAGTATCAGACATGCGCACTTCTGCCCTTGCCTTTTTGTTGCCTCCATTTGTGTTAACACTCGCCAGGTCTGGCTGGAAGTAGAGGCTTTGTCTCCATATTTACGAAAAGTAAATCTCAACTTTAACTATCTGTAGCAGAGATGTGTCAAGACAGTTTCCCACAGAACAAATGACAAGTCGAAGGCACTTAAGTTGTTTAATGAGCTTTATAGAGCAGAAGAGAAGCAGTGTCTTAACACTGTTTCAAGAAAAAGTCACTGAAGGTAGTCCTGGCTGGCACCCTAAAATGTTTCTCTCTGACCATTTTCATTGCCTCATGGGGAATTGATTGGGGTCTGTGGTAGAATAGATATGTTACATTTAAGTGCACAGTTGTGGTCCTCCTTCATCCCAGTCACCTTAAAAGCTGCTCACACTTAAAGACAGAGTAGAAAACAACTGACTTGGCCAAACCAAGTATCTGACATACCATCTAATATCAAGAGTAGAGAAAAGGACTGATTAACCATTTCACCACGTAAAAGGTCCCTGCCACCACACCTGACCGCCTGGGTTTAATCCCCGGGTCTCGTGGTGAAACGAGGGGACTGACTCCCAAAAGTTGTCTGCCGACCACTCCACAACTTCCAATACATACATAAATGAATGAATGAATGAATAAATAAATAAATAGAAGTCAAATTTATAAAAATCGAAAAGACCACCATTACTGCACAGTATATGCTGGGGTGTGATTCTGCTTCACCTCCCCTCCAATGCCACTCCTCTGCTCCACACATGCCTCATCTCCATGGATACTGAAGTCAACAGGTGCTCGGGTCTCTTCTGGGAAATGGCACGGTATTTACGTATGACTGCATATCCTTACATGTAGCACACCTAAATGTGGGTTGACAATGGTGTCAGATTTAGAGGTGACACTGTTGTACAGTGAATATGCATGCATCAAACCATTTTTCTTCGTTCTTGTATTTGTTTATTTTTGAGTCTCATGTAGTCCAGGCTGACCTCTATCTCCTTGAACTCCTTATCCTCCTCCTACTTCCCAAGTGCTGAGATTACAGGTCTATATTACTATGTCTGGCTTCTTCCATGGTGGGGACTAAAGGCGCAGTGCCTGCTAGATAAGGTACCTTACCAACTGAGCTCCATGCCAGGCCCATTCTTCATGCATCAATGTCATGGAAGAGGAAAGTGGAAACAAACTATAGTGAACACTCAAGAGGCTGAGCCAGGAGAATGGCTGTGAGTTGAGTGTTAGCCTGAGCTACATAGAGACTTCCATGCTGGCCTGGGCAATGAGTGGGACTTTCTAAAACGAAAGGGAACAAAGCGAGGTTGGCTTTGAGAGTGAGGAACAAAAGCATTTAGGAGTCAAGGTTGGGTGTGTGTCAGAATCCCAACAGGTTCAACTTGATGTTGCCTGCTCCTAAATCTAGAATAATAAATCCAAACAACCTGTAGTTAACCTCTCAAATTAACTTTTTGGTGCATCTGCTGTCTGCTCACAGCAGTAGGAAGCAAGCTTTAACAGTCTCCTACCCTCCGCTGAGATTGTTCTCACCCAGTTATTAGGGAGCAAATGAGAGGCTGCCTTCCAGCCCAGAAGTGGCTGTATTTGAGGAACCTCACAGGCTGCTGGTTTATAAATCACCCGGGATTGTCTCATTTCCTACTGTGAAGTAATACCTTTTAAATGAATTTCCGTAGCCTTGAATTTAATGGAATTAGTGTTAGATGTGGGCTCTTTACTGAACTTTTTCACCCTGATGCACTGCTGCCCAGTGTTTTGATTACATTTGTAAATAGAAAGCAGGTCACCTGGCTGACTCCGCTGGAGAAATCCCAACCTTTAGATCGGTAGATGTTACATCAGATAGGGTGTGGCTTAAGAAGCAGTGAACTTTGTAGTTAACACAAAGCTACATGTGCGCAGGCTGCATTCTCAGGCCTGAAGTATGGATACCCAGGCACCTGTTTGGAAAATGTGCTTCTATATTTTTGCCTTGGACCTCATTACCAAGAAAGATAGGCCAGTGTGATAATTTATGCATTTTATCCTAGTGGGGGGCAGCACTTCCAGGAGCTTCCCCACAGGCCACTTGATCCTTACAGCCCACTTCCCACAGTTCAGGATCAAACCACCTGGGAGGCCAACTCTGTTTCTCTGTGCTTTGCTCTTTGCAAAGTAAACCCTGAGTTGTACTTAAGCTCTTTAAGAAGCATGCCAGTGTGTGTTGTTTACCTGCAAGAACATCATAAACTGCTTCGTTGGTGCCAAGTTCACACAGCTCCCTTCCCTGGGTGGAATTTGGAGTTATCCACTGCTCTGTGCTCTTACAGATACACATCATGATGTCATCCATCAGCTTGTCTAGGTCTTTACAGTCAGAAGAAGGGGTGCAGCTGAGCAGCAGCTAGTACACCTGGCATGAAGGCAGTGCTCTAGGCTTGAACCCAGCGCCACGAGAAAGATGAAAAGCCAGGAATGGGAAAGAAACTTGAACTTACAGACTGCTCACCCTCCGAGTGATTTCGATCTCGCTCTCGCTCTCCTCTTCCGTTGATTTGAAGTTAATAGACATAGCAGGAAGCCTTTTTGGTTGTGAGTTCACACCATTCAGATAGTCAGTAGCTGTGCTTTTCCCTTTGACTACCAGGACTTGTAAAGAAAGGTTTGCGTGAAACTCAGTGGGAGGCCAGACTGTGCTGTTTGCTCCCTGTCCCTAAATCCCCGTGACACACCAATCCATGACTGATGAGTGCTGACATCTAGCAGCGCAGGTGTGAGAGGGACAGCTGTGTCCTCTCTTCCGTTTGAGAACTTTGCTAATGAACCACCTGCCCCAGGGGGTTTTGCTGCCCTTTAAAACATGGAATTTTCCTACGTGAATTGTGTGTCTTTGGGGATGTGTTTTGCTGGATCAGCCTTTGCACTGATGAGTGTCGGGTTTCCCAATCACCCTCTGAGTATCACGGCTGAGCTAGCCACCTTCTTGTTGGCAGGTCTTGGCACCAGCTCAGTGCTAGGGTCTGGGCTTGCACCATTCTCTTATCGTCATTCAAATTGCATGCTTGGTTCAGTCGGAAAGTCAGGGCTACAATTTGTGTTTATAGGATGAAGTTTCCCAGCCGGGTTTTGTGATAGTCATGGTGATACAATTTGATATATTAAAAGCCGACAGCTGTTTTCTCCTTGGCTCTGTTTTTTTAGAATAAAAGTGATTGGAGTTTGTCCTAAATCACACAAGTACCACATAGCTGGGTGTGTCAGCTGCCTTGTTTGCCTGCTGTTCAGGTCAGGAAGGGGGCAATGGTGACCGGGACATCAGGCTAAGGTTTCTTGTTTTTGTTTTTGTAACACTATTTTTGAACTCTCAAACAAGTAGGACTATTTTAATATCCTAGCCATAGAAGAGCAGCCTTTGTGGAGCAGCGTTCTAAAGGACCCCTCTGCTCACACCAGAGATGCCTTAGACCTCAGCTATAGAAACGGGAGGATGGGCAGACTCATTTGCTTTTCCGGAATTTATTAAAGCTAACGCCTGTGCCCTTTCTCTTGTAGATGGCTCTGAGAGGTTCCTCTGTGAGTCGGTGTTTAGCTATCAGGTGGCATCCACGCTTAAACAGGTGAAACATGGTAAGTACATGAGGTGCCTTCCTTCCTACAAATGTATGTTTATGGGAAGCAAGGGGCAAACGTTCTGAAAGGTCACTGTGCTGTGAAAAAGCCACAAACTGTTTAAATGACTTTCTGAATTGAACACTCTTAAGATCTTGTCCAGATTAAACCCCTCCATGGAGGTTTGAAGTCTTAGTTCAGTTCTTTCAGGAGTCGCAGCTTCCTGCTCCTCTGTTCCTTTACCTACCCTTGGTGAGACCCCTTACTGCTTGCTTTCAGGCACCACCTTCCCTGTCCACGCTCTGAGCCCTCGGTGACACATACACTTCACCAAGTCTCCATCATGAATCAGGAACCATGTCCCCTCCTGCCCGCTCCTCCTAGGAAAAACCCATGGGAGCTTCTGAATGAATCCCTGTGGCTTGGAGAGCAGGGACCTGTTTATACTGTGTTTTTGTTTTTAGGTGTCTCCTGAGTGCTGGGGTTACAGACATGGCTACCAAGTCTACCTCCATTTTTTAGACTCTAGCATATACTGAGAGTGTGATGACAGGAAATGTCCTTTTCCAGAGCTAGGGCTCAGATGTGCTCCACCACTGAGGCTCAGCTCAGCCTCGAAAAGTGGGGTTTGGTTTTGTTTGCTGCTATTGGTTTTTTGTTGATGTTAGTTTTGATTTTTATTTTTTACTTATTTATTTATTTTTCTGAGACAGAGTTCTATGTGTATCCCTGGCTATCCTGGGACTCATTCTGTAGACTAGGCTGACCTTGAACTCTGCCTGCCTCTGCCTCCCAAGTGCTGGGATTAAAGGCATGTGCCACCACCACCCAGCTGTATTTTTTTCCTTTATTATTTTTATTATTATTATTTTCTCACTCTAGAACTTACTATGTAGCCCAGGCTGGCCTAGAACTCTGAGCAGTTTTCCTACCTCCACTTCCCAAGTGCTTGAACCACCACTCCTTGCTTCTTGCTACTCTTAATCTTCTCTCTTCCCCGCCCTCCCCCATCTGTGTGTGTGCATCTATCTCCTTTTCTCTGTATCTGTTTCTGTCTCCCCTCATCCCCGTCTCTGTATGTGTTTATGTCTGTCTGTCTTTCTCTTGCATGTTTGTTTTCTTTACTTTTTTAAATGAAAACAGGGAGAGTTTATTAAGGAATTTGAGGGTCTTGGTACAGGGAGCTACTTCCATACAGAAATAGAACCCTACTTCCTTTGAGGGGAAATGGACAGAAAACATTTCGATACAGATTTAAGCATAGAGATTTCTAGAAAGAGAGACCCTTAGGAAAAGAAGAGTATATACCCAGAAGAGTCATCTGTATTTCTTAATAATTGCATTTAAAATTATTTTAATATAAAAAGCTATCCAGACTCAGAGAAAGAACAGATTTGGTCAAGGAAAGGGTTGAGCCTGAACGGAGATAAAGGGATGGAGGACCTTGATGGATTAACACAGCAGGAGAAGATAGAAAAACATTCAGATAAGGGGCTGGATTGATGGCTCAGCAATTAAGAGCACTGCCTGTTCTTCCAGAGGACCTGGGTTTCATTCCCAGGACGCATGTGGTGGCTGGCAACCATCTGTAACTTTAGTTCCAGGGGATATGACACCTTCTCCTGGCTTCCTAGACACATCCACATCTACACATAAATAATACAAAATAATGAGAATGAGCAGATTCAGGAAGACACCCAATACCAACCTCTGACCACTAGGTGCCTGACACACACGCACATACAGGGGTAAGCACACACATAAAGGGCAGTACTCATGAAAGCTGATGCAGCTCAGTGGTAGCACGTGACCCTAGGTTCAGTATCCACCATTTCAAGCAAAGGGGAGAAGTAGTGCAGATGAATGGAGAATGGCTGGAAGTGTTCCTGGTCTTCAGACCTACATAAAGTCAGACCCCATTACCAAATGTCAAGTGAGAAAGCCCAGCCACAAATTCTAGACCAGGGGTCACGTTTGTGAGCGGTGACAATCTCATGGGAAATGCCCTGTTGTGTTCTGCCACTTCTGACTCTTTACAGATCAGCAAGTTGCTCGGATGGAAAAACTGGCTGGCTTGGTGGAAGAGCTGGAGGCTGATGAGTGGCGGTTTAAACCCATCGAACAGCTGCTGGGGTTCACGCCCTCTTCGGGTTGATGTCGCCTGCATGGTCGCCCCTAGGGCACAGCCACCCAAAGACTCACAGCTGAACTGTGAGCTGCATGTCTGAATTCTCATCCTAACTTGGTTCCTCTGTTTCTGTTATTAGGCCACAAATGCTCATGTGAGATGTTACTGAGAAGTTTTTCACATGTTTGCTTTTAAAAGTATTGGAAGGCAAGTGTAGGAGGATCTCTGTGAGTTTGAGGCTAGCCTGAGCTACATAAAGTTCCAGGACAGCCAGGGCTACATAGAGAGACCCTGTCTCAAAAATAAAAAATGTAGCTGGGCAGTGGTGGCGCACACCTTTAATCCCAGCACTCAGGAGGCAAGGGCAGGCGGATCTCTGTGAGTTCGAGGCCAGACTGGTATACAAGAGCTAGTTCCAGGACAGGCTCCAAAAGCTACAGAGAAACCCTGACTCGAAAAACCAAAAAATAAAATAAAAATAAAAAATAAAGTATTGTGGATCAGATTAAGGCAGTCCTCTTAGGGAACCAGGAAGGTTGGGATTTCAGAGATAGTTATATAGAGTCTCCCTAGCCAGACACATGCCAGAGTTAGCCAACTGATGGCATGTGTCCTGTCATTCATAGAGCACCTGGGAGCTTTCACCCGTCAAACCCGAGGTCAGGATCCGTAGTCTCACAGTCACAGCCCAAACATTTCTCATCACAGATGAGTATGATTTCAGCTCAGGGTCTATCCAGATGGGGGATTTTAAGGTGTTCTTTCCCCCTCTATTCTTAGACATTTAAATGTTACAGATTATTTTTCTCGCCTCTTATGATATGCTAAATGGTGCTACCCCACCCCATCCCTGCACCCTAAAATTGTTTTTTGAATTTTGCAGCACTTGAAAAAATAAAATAACCTAATTCCTTTTAGACCCAGAAATCCTTAGTCCAACTCATTGGGGATATTCTGAAGCCAATGAATCTGTAAGCATTCCAGATTGGCACACTTGCCCTTTCAAAGTCCGAGGGATTTGGGACAGAGAAAGAGGTCAGATTACTTTCTTGTTAGAGTCTAAAGTCATTTCTCTTAAGTAAACAGTAGATTTGCTTTACTTCCAAGCTGTTTGCTGATACAGTGTCCAAACTTACTGCCGCCTCAGTAAGTATGATTGATACATCCATCTGTTTGGATCCTTGTCTCACTCTCTAACGAGGCTGGCCTCAAACTCCTAGCAGTCCCCCTGCCTCAGCCTACTAAGTGTTAGGATTACCCTCCTCTCTTTACTAGGCTTTTACACAATGGTAGAGTAAAAACCTGGACGATAAAGAGGTTGCTTTTGTGCCTAATCATGGGACCCCACACTTCACAATTAGGCAGATTACTATTTTACATACAAATTTGCTGTAGCCAGCATTTACCTTTCTGCTCAATTAATAATTTGCACCTGATCTGCTTAGAGTTGCTCAATTATAAATAAATTTAATCCTAGTAGCAATTGGCCTTAATCTCAGGAGTTCAAAATATTTAACACACACTCCCTGACAGGGAGGAGGAGTTGACCTTTGTAACTCAGGCAGAAGATAGTCTTGTAAGTTGGGATGGAGGGACACTGATTGATTATGGGGTCCACTGTTCTTGTCTGAAGCAGTCCCGAGCTTGAGAAGTGCCAGCCCACAGCCCTTGGGTCGGATTTTCAGTGAGTCTAGAAGCTGCCGCCCTCATTTCATATGTGAAACTGCAGCACTGACTCTCACCTGCCGTACCCTCTGGCATTTGGATTTAACACAGTTTTTACGTGTTTAAGGAGGGTGTTTCTTGATATGGCCCTGGACATTAAAGAGAAGCCAGGCTTGATAGCACACACCTGTAATTTAGCACTTGGGAGGAAACGGGAGGATTAGGATTTTGTGGCCAGCCTGGGCTACATGAGACCTTAAAGAGAAGCTCGAGGGGGTAGAGAATGGAGGGAACAGAGAGAGATGAAGAGATATAGAAGAGACCTGGACTGAACAGGTCTTCATTCGTGAATTTTTTGTGCGAATCATCCAACTGCATCTCCAGCCCTGCCAACAGAACCCTGCCTACTTTCTGAAGGTGTTCTGTGTCTCTGCACCTTTCTCTTGGCCATTGTCTCTCACCCAAGAGAGACAGGTCTGCCGTGCTTTGGGTTAGAACTGGACTGTCTGACTCTTCTCTCATGTGTGCACTTACTGTGTGCCAGTCACTAGCGGCCCTTATTACCCTATCTCTGCATGCAAACTATATGATAGATACCCTCCAGCACACTCCATGAAGGGGACTTTGGAGCCCAGAGCAAGTCAAACAGCTCAGATCCAGTCTGCCAGACCCCAAAGCTGAGACTGTTTAAAACATCTTACTGTATTCCAGTGACCCCAGCCCTAAATCTTGTACAATAAAAACGTCAGGGGGTTGGGACAGTGGCTCATCCAGTAAAGTGTCTCACTAGCACAAGGGGCTGAGTGTGAAAAGCCAGGCATGCAACTCACACTCAGGACCCAGCGCTGGGGAGGCAGAACTAGGCGGATCCTTCAAGCTTGCTGGCAACCAGTCTAACTTAATTGTTTGTTTGATTTTGTTTGTTGAGACAGAGTCTTGTGTCCCCAGGTTAGTTCTGAACTCAGGTCTCATATAACCCAGGCTGGTCTTGAACTCCTGATTCCCTTCCCCCTACTTCCAAAGTAGAATTGGTAAGTATATGCTACCAAGCCTACAAAAGCTTTCCATTTTTAACCCTGCATTTATTACTTAGTATCAATGCTAAAGTTCAGGGTTTAGGAGCTAGAGAGATGGCTCTGTGGTGTAAGTGTAAGAGCAACAACTTTTGTTGCTCTTACAGAGACCTGGGTTCCATTCCCAGCACCCACATTGTGGCTCATAACCGTCTGTAACTCCAATTCCAGGGGATCCGATGATTACCCTCTTCTGACCTCTTCAGACATCAAGCACAAATGTGGTACACATACATGCAGGTAAAACATTCATACACATAAAATTAATCTTTAGTAATAATAATAGTGTAGTACAGTATTTTAGAGTAGGAGTTTGTTGGATATATTGTCTTACCCAAATTGGCCCCAAACTTCTGGGTTTAAGTGGCCTTCCTCTTTCAGCCTCCCAGGTAACTGGTGCTACATATATGTACAACCATGCCAGCCAGAGGCCCAGAGTTTCCCATGATGCATGTTAGAGTATTTGGGGTCTTTTTGTTTGTGTTTTGTTGTATTGTGGTATATGTGTGTACACATGTATGTGTATATGTGTGTGAAGACCAGAGGCTGATAGCAGGAGTCTTCCTCAGTCACCCTCCACCTTCCTTTCTGAGACAGGATCCGTCTGCCTCCCCTGCACTGGGATTACAGACACACTCATGTACCTAGCTTTTTCTGTAGGTCCGGAGGCTGTCTGATCCTCATGCTTACACGGGAAGCATTTTACTGACTAAGCCACCTACACACACACCTTTTTTTGTTTTGTTTTTGACACGGGATCTCTTGTGGCCGAGGCTGACTTTGAACCCCTCCCCTGCCCTCCTCCTGTTCCTGAGTGCTAAGGGAACAGGCACATGCCCCCAGGTCTGATGGGGGTAGTAGTTGTCGCTTCCACCCCTCAGTGCCCTGGGCGAGGAGCTTTCTTTGCCCATTTGTGCGCAGCTGTGGCTTCTTCCTCACATGGTTGAAGCCCCGATCCTCTGTTCCAAGCCTGGCAGAAACTCTGGGCTTTAGAGCTGAAAGCCTTTAGCTCTGTAGAGGAGGAGCTGGAACCAGGGGAGCTGCCATGTTGAGAGAAGACAAAGACTTGGTGCTCCAGGCAGACCTGAGGCACCTTGGCCTTAGGCAGAAGTGCCTGCCTCTCTGTGTTCTTTTGCCAAAGCACCTAATTGTGCCTAAATATCTTGACAGGCCTATTTATAATTGCCTGAAGTGCCACAAGGGAGATAAGCCTTAAGTGACAGATACTTGAGAGTTAAATCTTGGACTGCAGGCAGAGCATAAATAACACCAGATTTTTTCCTGTTTTCCCAAAGCGGAGTCTGGGAAGGGGATGGTTCCAGGGGAGGAGGAGAAGGTAGAGGGAGCTGGCTGGAGCTTGGTGCTTTGCACACTGACCTTCTGTGCATCCCTTGTTAGTACCAGGGGCAGGGGGTTCTTACAGTTAGGAGAGGTGAATTCACCTTCCTTACAAAACAAGAATCTGCTGTGACTTCTGGGTCTTCAGTGCCTAGGAACTGCATGGCACATAAGGAAAATCTAACAGGGAGGGCTGGAGATTTGGTCAGTGGTAGAGCACTTACCTAGCATGCACACAGCCCTGGGGTCCATGGCAAACACTGCAAAAATATATGTGTCTAGTGGATCTTTTTTGTTTTCAAGTGCTGGAGTTTGTTTTAGTTACTTTTCTTGCCCCTGTGACCAAATACCTGACAGATTTCATTAAGTCAGGAGGGGTTTATTTCAGCTCACAGTATGGTCTAGGGGACATTGACACAGGGAAGGCACAGGCTAGACCTGGCTTACAGCTTTGGGAGTATAGAAGAGCTGCCAGTTACACAGTTCCAACCAAAAAGCTGAGAGCCAGACTTCTGGAAGCCAAGCAAGCTTATAAATGCTCACAGCCTCTCCTTCAGCCTGAAGTTTGTGAGCCAGGCCTTGTGTTCAAAAGGTTCTCCAACCTTTCAAAACAGCATCACCAGCCAGGGACCACATGTTCAAACACAGGGGCCTGTGAGGGTCATTTCAGATTGAGACCATAACAGGATTGAGCTCAGGGTCTCACCTTTGCTGATCAGGTGCTTTTCACTAAGCTACATCCCAAAGCATTTCTCTAGTCTAAAAAACTACTAGCAACTTCCAGTGCAAAATCTACAGTGGGGCACTCTCTGAGGTAATTCAGAAACTAAGTGACAGAGGCCAGACTACCCTAGACCTCAGCCCAGAGCACTTCCTCTCCTCTGCTGCACTGATGGTCTAAACTGGAACAAATAGAAACTTCCCATTAGCTGTGCAGCACATAGTGCCATCAGTGTGACGGATGAAGGCTGGGGTGCTGGTGGCTCCCTGCCCACCTGCAAATGGCATGGTGGCAGTGCCGTGTGTCAGCATCCACAAGTCAGAGTCTGCACCACACATTAATTTTCCAGTCTGTCCAGTCCCCCTAGG